ATCATCCTAATCTCATTTCTGTAACTTTAGAGATTGTCCTGATGGTATATGAATCATAGAATGCAGATTAGTTTGGGTTGGAAGGGACCTTAAAGATTATCTAGTTCTGTCCCACCCCTTACTATGGGCAGGTTGCTCAGCACCCCATCCAGCCTGGCCTTGAGTGCCTCCAGGGAGGGGGCATTCACAGCCTCACTGGGTAACCTCTTCCAGTGTCTCACCACCCTCACAGTAAAGAATTTCTTCCTAATATCTAATCTAATTCTCTTCCCTGAAGAGGAAACCCTCTTCCAGTTTAAAACCATTTCCCTTTGTCCTGTCACCACATGCCCTTGTAAAATGTTCCTACCCAGCTTTCCTGTAGGTCCCCTTGAGGTACTGGAAGGCTGTTATAGGGTCTCCCCAGAGCCTTCTCTTCTCCAGGCTGAAAAGCCCCCAATCTCTCAGCCTGTCCTTGTAGGGGAGGTGCTCCGGCCCTCTGATCACCTTCATGGCCCTCCTGCTCCAATAGCTCCATGTCCTTCTTGAACTGGAGGCCCCAGAACTGAATGCAGTACTCCAGGTGTGGTCTCACGAGAGCAGAGTAGAGGGGCAGAATCACCTCCCTCGAACTGCTGGTCACATTTCTCTTAATGCAACCCAGGATACAGTTGGCCTTCTGAGCTGCAAGTGCACACTGCCAGCTCCTGTTAAATCTTTCATAAACCAACACTCCAAATCCTTCTCCTCAAGGCTGCTCTCAAGCCATATTAAGGCTTTGGGATGTTTTAGTAAGGTTTCCATGCTCACCCTTTTATCTGTTCCCATCAAATTTTTTAACTGGTGCTGTAAAATTTTAAAGCATGCAATAAGCTCATAGTAGGGACATTGTATTGGAAAAGCCATGACAAATAAAACAACCCATTATGATTATTTGTGAGGCCTCTTTTTAATAATTAGGAGTCTCTCGGTCAGTCCATGACCACAGGAAATACTTCCTCTGTGAAGTGAGGAACTCAGATTGGCGCATCCTTCATGAGCTACTGCTGCATTTCATGTTCTTACATTACTGGGCTTTGGTCACTCCTCTTTACTTAATGTCACTATTTTAATGAGATTGGACAATATAAAAATGTAATATGTTGTATGCATCATTCTAGGTTCATCAGTTTTCTTTTTTTCTGGGCCCATCAGGTGTTAACATAGTGACTTTTACCAAGTCACTATTAACAAAGCTTCTATGTAATCTTGGGAATTTTGAGCAGTACTGTTTGAAAGGTCTGAAATGAAAGAATACTTCACATGAAATTTAATTTGAAATCAAGTGTTCAAAACTGAACACTGCAAAAGTTGCCAGGAAGATCCAGAATCTCAGACTGGAGTTAATGAGGGAAGATGCTGCCTGCAAAGATAGTTATTTAAGAGATATCTCTAAATATTGAATAAAATCTACCTCATAGCTGAGGAGATGCTTAAAATCTTGAAAGATCCCAAAATATTAGCTTGAAATAAATCAAAGAAATAAGTCTGCTTCAGGAAAGAACATCTGTCTTCTAGTAAGTCATGACAGGGATGTTTGGAACTATATTTATTCATATTTTTACTCATGTATTCATTCACATTCCAATGTTTCCTGGTGCTTTACAGCAAGATAGGGTGAATCTTTAGTCCCAGTTCAGTTAATCAAAATACTTCTATTTACTTCTATAAAATTAAGATTTTGCCCATAATTCACTTTCTGGCTTTGTTTTTTTAGTTCCTGATTTTCCAGTTTTGTCCCTAAAGAATAAGAGGAAAATATTGATAGAATTTTCTTAAAGCCTTCTTAAAATATAGAAAGACCATGGAGATTTTACCCATAAGCCAGAGGAAATGACACTTGAGCTATGCTGGATAAAAATGTCATCGGGAAAGAATCATATTCAACTTTCAATTTTCCAGTACAGATGTGCTTAGATAAGAAAGCAATTTTCAGAAGTGACTTTAAACTTTTGCAACTTTTTGTTTGGACTCTGTTTTCATTCCAGGAGAGGTTTATTTTGATTTATCTTACACCTGTTCCTGGCAAGGGACACTACACTGAAATAATCTGCTTGCCTGCCTCCGAGGAAACAGAGCCAGGGAAGGCTGCCTTTGGAAATGGACACTCTTTCCTTCCCAGCCTGAGGAGGTTTTTTGGAGGAGGAGTGTATTGTGAAGAGGTGAAGAAAATGAGAAAGGTGTGAAAGAAACACCAGTAGACTGGGAAGGCTCTCTTCCCTCCAACTGTTTTTAAGCATGTGTCCAAGCATTTTCTGCTTACCCACTCCCTTGTGCCTTCCTCACCATTTTGCCTCTCTTCCTCTCTGCTCTCCATCTTGAAAGGTCTATTTGAGTTGGTAATTCCTTTGGACCAATACTAAAGAGAGGGAGAATGAGCTATGCTACTGTTGGCTTCTTCATCTCACATGGTCAGAAAGGATCAGAGACCTTCAGTGGGGCAGAAGGACAGAGTGTTCCCAACAGATGCTGTGCAGAGCTGGGAGCAGTGAATTAATCTGAATTTTTTGCACTGTTATAACAAAAGCTGCCAGAATTCCCGGTATGGGAAAGAATAAGTGAAGGGACAAAGCATTTGCTTTTCAAAAAAAAAAAAAAAAAAATCACATTGAAAGCAGCTGAGGGAAACCAAAACTCTCCGAAAGCACATAAGTCATTTCTGGACCAAAAACATAATTCCTAATATTTGGATGATATTTTCCAAGTTCTAAGACTGTTTTTCTGGAGTGCACACTGTTTTTTGATAATATCTGATTTGTTGATAGCTTCCCCCACTAATTAGAAATGGTTGTTACATAGTGGAGAGCAGTGTGGATCAAGCCATGCTAAATGTGATGTTCTTCTAGTAACCAGAGATACTCCTTCTTCAACACAGTCCATATTGCTCACAGCTTTTTTGCCCACCCTACACGAGCCTCAGATCCAGATAAACACTCCTAAATATAGAAGATTGCTTGTATGCGCTGCACATCCATACTTCCAGTTGGACAAGATCTAGGGCTTAGTTCAGTGGGATAAATAGAGGTGTCCTCTGTTACATGATATTCCCTGCTCTCTAGCTACTTCTCCAGAAGGGCACAGGCTTCCCAAGACTGAGGGCATATCTACTGGACCTAGTGGATGTCTCAGATACCTTAGGGCATCTCAGATGGCACTGGACAAATAAATTCAGGCAGATGAAACAATCCTCTTTTTGTGCCAAGCCCTGAGCACAAGTCAGCTGAGCAGTCAGCAGGAGCCTTCTTAAGGGTTAGCACGCCACACTTAGCTGACGTTATCGCCTTGTGCTGCATGGGGTATAGACACCTGATTCACAACTTAAGACTTTAAATGTCAATGTGGAACTGAATCCTACTGCACTTCTTTTTATGGTCCACATTAGGATTGTTGACATCTTTAACTTTTCCCGATCGATTGTCCTGTTTCTGAATTCTTACCCAGTCCTTCTGCATCTGATTACTATGCTCTTGAGCTCTGCACGGTGCAGAGACACCCCAGGATATATTATCTATTTCTGGCTCTCTAAACTTGTTAGATTTACGTCTAAAAGCAAATTTAGTTTTACAGTAGCCAACTATATGGTTGCTAAATATGATCCATCTATGTAGAAGCCAAAATGTCAGAGCAGAAGACAAGCAGAAGGTCAATCCAGGCTTGTATACTTGTCTAACAGTGACACTAGTCAGCAGTGGGTGGTTAGGGAAGATCACATAAGGAAGACAAGCATGCAGTAATATTTCTCAGCCTCTAGTGCCTGATACTTCGAGATTTCCTGAGACAGAAGTAGGGTCTAGGTGTTTATTTGACCTGGATTGTTTTCTCATATGAGATTATCCAGTTGGTTTTGAACTCATGTAAACTTTTATTGGTTTGTGGCAAGGATTTGTGCAATTCTACAGAAGTGTCCTTGAATGACAAAAGTGTCTGTACCCTTAATAGAACGGTAAGATGGCAAAGCCATCTTGGCACAAGGTGAGTGTTACACCTAACACAAAAGAAGTAAAACTCATGTTAGCATGAAGTTCTCATCTGTGAATATGGTTTTAGTTTATTCTTGCATATTAGCATACAAGCAAACAGCACAAAATCTTAAGATTTAAACCATGTACTTTGTTAAAAAAAAAAAAAAGACTTTTAAGCTTTTAAAGGTCAGGAAATTAATGATGAGGTGGTGAAGTAACAGTGTTTTCTCTGTCCTTTTCCACTCTCTGCATACCAGTATGTCTGCCCTAATAATCACAAAAGAACATTATTCCTTCTCACAGTATCCATGTGCCTTCACTGTTATCTTCTCATCTCCCTTTAAATGCTGTTCTGGCTCAAAGGGCAGTTGGCTGATTAGTTCATGCAGAACAAACTCGCTCTCACAGTTTGAATCTGTGACCTGAAGAAATAAATCCTAACACTTGCTAGGCTGCAAGAAACATCTTGCCAAGCTGCCAACTATAAGAATGCTTCTGAGTGCCCAGCACTATATTTTTTCCTTTCCAGGAAATGGTACATCAGAGGAGTTGGGTCCAGAAACTATATGACTGAACAGTCTTTGTACTCACAGGAAACCAATAAGTCTGATTCCACTGGATTCTCATCACTGAGGCAGCTCTATTTTTTTCTTCTTTCTTTTTTTCTTTCCTTTTCTGGCTTTTCAACAGGAAAGTTGCTATGTGAAAGGGGAAAGCATTCAAGACCATCTACTAATTTGTTCAGGTGCTACAACAGTCTTCAAAGATCAAATATGAGGATCCTTCAAATCTGCTCCTCTTATTCATATGTTTTCAAAATGACTGCCATGAGTTTTCACCCTAGAAATCTCTCAGGGCATACTCTGCCTCCAGCCCTCACTTCACATCCTGTCTCAAACAGAATTCTCTGCTTTGGATTTCCACCTGTAGTCTCTCTTTTGTCTCCAGTCAGCTCATGAACAATACATGTTATTGATTGGTACATGGACATTAATGTTTTCTATAATGTATTTCTTTCAGACATCATTGTTCTCATCGCTTCAATAGCAGTTGTTTCTGCAAAAACTCAGGGTAACATTTTTGCAACATCAGCACTGAGAAGTCTTCGTTTCCTACAGATCCTTCGTATGGTGCGCATGGACCGAAGAGGAGGCACTTGGAAATTATTAGGTTCAGTAGTTTATGCACATAGCAAGGTATGTAATCATAAGTGGTGGTTTTGAGGTCTTCACTGGATTCAGCAAGAATCCAAGGAAATAAATACTAACCAATTTTGAGCAGAATATCTAGAATTTCTTGAAATGACATCAGTTGTATTGAGCATTGATGCAGTTATGTGAGGCCATATTAAATACTGAAAGGTTTTTGAATGTGCTGAAAATGTTGGATTTGATGTGCTACTCTAATTCTGCATACACTAGTGAAGTTCCTAGTGCATCAAAGGAGTAGATTTGGTCCATTTTTAAAGAAAATTTGCATCAGCAGGGAAGCATTTGACTTTTAACTACTCAAATGCCAAAAAAAGTATATAGATATTTTCACTGTGTCTTTCTTAAAGTGCCGTTCTGTTCAATCATTCAATGGATATTGATCTCTGCTTTGTTTTATCTAGGAATTAATCACAGCCTGGTACATAGGATTTTTAGTACTCATCTTTTCATCTTTCCTGGTTTATCTGGTGGAAAAAGATGCAAATAATCAGTTCTCCACATATGCAGATGCTCTCTGGTGGGGCACAGTAAGTACACAAAAAAAAATATGCACTGCTTCGTGACTATGCTAGGGCGCTTTGGATTGCACCCGCTGTTGATTTTAACTTAGTGAGATGTTCTGTGAATTGTTTCCACTGGCAGAAAGCTGGTCCCAGAGTCTCCCTACACCTAATCCAGCTATTCATTTGTACATCCATAGTTCATTTTACTCCATCCTACAGAACAGCTTTTTGTGAGCTTCTGCTGCAAATCAGATCTCTGAACCTCCAAGAGAACAAAGCATTTTACTTTTTAAGCCAGATCTTTTCAGTAATACATTTTGTAGTAATGTCCCACGAGGACCTGCTTTGATCCAAATGAGATCTATAAGCTGCAGAGCAGGAAGTGTCAGGGAAGTGGGAATAAAATTCTTACATCAACTTTGCAGTGAAAGGAAGTGTTTTTTCACTGCCCTTAGAATGAAGTTCTTTTTCCTTCCCTGTGCCTTGAGGACAAAAAGGCAAGAATAAATATTCTTATTCTGGTTCAGCAGTGTTTTTTACAGGTGTAAAAGCCCTGATTTAGTTGAGCGTTTAACGTCTTGCTTAACTATCAAATCAATTACTTTGTTGAAACCTGTGGGATGTAAGTACAAGCCTGACTGCTTTTCCGAAAGTAGGAGGATTATATGAATGCTTATATGTTTAAATAAACCAGGCTTTAAATGAACAATGAGGTAATGATGACCTAGGTGTCTAAGTAGTTGATTTGTTCCTTTATGGCCCAATGTAAAGCTTTTTTTTTGCTTTTTTTTTTGCTTTTTTTAAATATGCTCTGTAATGAGCTAGACCTCTGTACTATGTGGGAGTTACTTGAACAGCAGCTGGAATACTTGCCCCAGCAAAGCCTATTGCAGAGCTGTTGCCAAGCAGTAAAAAAAATGTGGAGGGGTTTGGATGTTTTGGGTTTTTTTTTTTTTTTTTTTTGTCCTTCTGTTTCAGTAGAACAAACACCATGAGCTCTGATAGTGTCTCGATAAAGAAATGATGCCTCAGTGAGATCATTAATGCTGACATAACCAAGAGCACTCATTAGTTTTCCTGGGATAAGGATGAGAGCTGAAGCAGCCTTTGCCACCTTTTCTGATCAGAGAGATGCAGAAATGAAGATTTCTGTTTGGACTCTGTTTGGATTCAGTAGTATTTGCAGACTCAGAGCTATTCAAAAACTTTTTCCAAAATTTCCAAATCTTTGAGAAGTATTTTTAATAAGTTTCATTTACATTCTGAGCCAAGGTCAGGGTCATTTCCTATTAGTATAACTAGCCTCTGTGTTTGAAATTTGTTCATCCTAGGAATAATCATTTGTTACATATCTTCTCTAGTATTGTTGTACTCGTGCACAAAACTGGGGAGGTAGCAAAAGCCAGACCTAATGGCTCTTATTTGCACATCTACAAAAGGACAGAAATATTTTTCCTGAAACTTGTTTAAGAGTGTCAAGGCAAAATCTCTAATAGCATACACACTTCTACTCTGTATTGTGAGTGCAAATAAGATTCACATTGTCTAAAGCCATCAAAGCAGGTTTTGCCCTCAGTCTCACCATAACTGTTTATTTCATGAGTTCTGTCTGTAACTGAAACAATTCATCCCAAGCAGAAGGAGGTTCACTTTCTCCAAAAGCTGAGGTTCATCAGATTTGGCTTACGGCTTTCCGAAGCTTCTGGCTTGGGATGCCAGTGACCTTCCCTTTGGGTACCCAGTCTCCAGTAGTCTGCAAACATAATTTTCCTTTTTTGTTTGGCAGCGAGTCCTGCAAGAAGCTCTCTGTAGGTCATGCAGGTGGGATGTTGTGTCGCATGGGTCTGAGAACGTCTGTTTCCAGCCACTCGGTTTCCCAGGAAACAACTCCTATATGTCTGCAAAGCTTTGTGTGACTTTGCACTGGGTAGGCAGAGACTTGGGGCTTAGCACAGGATTGCACCCGTCTGCCAGCAGGCACTAGTGAGGGGACACAGACCCACAAGGAATGGGAAAGACTCAGCAAACCCTCAATTCCAATATCCAACTGAGGCTCATGTCAGATCCACATCTTTCCTCCTGAGCACCTCTAACAGCAGGAGTATGATCTTTGTTTTAGAATTTGCACTTTTGCACTACCTGCTGACTGTTATTTTTTTAAGGAAAAACCCTGCTAAGAAGTAATCATTGTATGAAGTGGTGCTTAAAATATTTTGTATACTATGAAGCTAGAATGTATGACTCATAGGTCAGATAAGTAGTGCAACTGAGAAAATAGGAATCTTTTCTTGACATCAGCAGGTAAAACAGCAAATTATAATAAAAAATCTGAAAACAATCTGTATTATATATTTCTATACCTTTCCTTGTTTCCCCCAGGGTGTGACATGAAATACATTTAAATTTTTAATGTACTTAAGTGCACAACATTACTGAAAAATCTGTGTTCTCCTTTACCTGTTATCTTTTCCATTTTAATAATAGTATTTTTGGTGTAATATGTAAAACAGTATGTGGGAAATGCATAACGTGCTTCTTAGTCACGAGTTGTTTTTACTGCCAGAGTAACCCACATGCAGATTTTGAAAAGGTCAGATTCTGTGGCATTCTAGGGGAAATCAATGCTTAGTCCCATTGATTTGTTTATTTGCGAAAGTTGTTCTTACTTAAACCACCAAATTCAAGATTGAATTCTGTGATGGCAGAAGTAGAAGAAAGAAAAGATCACGTGGAAGTCAGGCACAAACTGTCTTTTTAAATTTCAAGCTTTTAGAAGCACTTACACTCCTCTCCCGGTCCAGACCCAGCATGTGGCAATTAGCATTAATTCCAATTATTTGAGGGTTGTACCATGCGAAGGTCATTTCATGAATTTCATTTTTAAAGCCCATAGCTTTGCACTGAGACAAAAGACAGGATATGGCATACTAATTTGCATCTGAATACTGCTCCGTAGTTGCACATTGTACTGCACCACGTGCAGTGTAAGCATCGTGCTAATGTTTCTACTGTGAATATTCTTATGGTTGGAGTCCCCATGGTGCTGCTCAACATAGTCTTAAGTGTGCACTGTATGAAGAGTTCAAGCTCAGAATTTACTAGAAATGGTTTAACAGAAAAAAAAAAAAAAAAGAAAGAAAAAAAAAAGTAAACTGTATGGGAACAAAAAGTCTGTAAAAAAAACAATTGTGGATCTTTCAAAATCAAACCTTACATGATTTTCTGAGAAGTGTTAGCGGTAGCTAGTCTGATCATGTTCATAGCAGCATTTTGTTTACTTTTACCTGCAAATGTGATGCAATTGGAATTTCAGTCTCTCCTACACATTTAACAGAGTTTCTTTTAATAAAATATTATTTTCTACTAGTATCCAGTAGTTACAGTTACAGTTGGATACAGAATAGCTCTGGCACTCCACAGTGACCTGTAGGTGAACAAAACAACTTAAATGAATAATACTGTCACAGTTACTAGCTCAAAAGAGTCAATATTGATGGTGTTTTTCAAATTTAATGTGATGATAGTCTGAGCAAACTAAATTTTTTTCGGTTAATTGATGTCAGGTAAAGATTCAAAAGGTAAGTACTGCTATCAGAACATAAAATTATGTCAGAAAAAATATTAGGGAAGAGGGAAGCCCTCTGGGTCTTATCTCATCTGATTGAAGGCACCTAGGTTATATAAGCTCGTTCATTATTGTATTGGCTCACTTATTATTAGCACATTTGTTAGTTCTAGCAATGAGATATAATACAAGTTCTGTCACAGTGTTTTTTGAGACTAGCTGTGTTTCTTGCTTTATCTGTTCAATCCTGCATTTTAGGATATGTTGAGTTACATGCTCAAGAAATCTTCCTTTCCATTATGCAAGTCTAGGTGACTAGATCATGTGAAAACACCTAAACATTTTGTGTTTCAAGCTAGGAGAAATGAATCCTAACAAAGAAACTAAAATGTTTGGTTTATTTTTCCCTATATAGGCTGTGGTAAGCAAACAGACACAGGGCTGTTCAGCAGGTATCCCCATACTTTGGTTTCCCTTTCATTGTTTCTTGATCCTTTTTCATCACGTTCCTCTCTCAGCCCCAGCCTCCTCCCAGATCAACAACTCATCCCTTTTTACTTTCATAGGCTTGTTACACCCATACTCAGGTTTTGTATTTTTTTGATACTGTGTTCTACTCACTCTTGGTCTTGTACAATATTAATGCTGTAGTAACTTAGGTATTGTTGTCTTTGCAAGACTTGAATTCTTCTGAAGGTCCCCGGTATTCTCCTCTAGTTATCTTTGAACTTAAGGTCATTTCTTCCTTAACTTCCCATGAGATCCAACATTCCCTCATAGTACCAGCTGTAACTTTTGTCAGCATCTTTCTTATCAGTCACATCTCATCATTTCTCATGTTACTGTGGTCTCACGTCCACTAGTTTTCCACATTGCACTCGATTAATGTTACCCCAAGATTATGCCATTCAGAGCCTTATGTTCATTTATTTGCTTGCAGTACTAACAAAGATGATGAGGTTTATTTCTGAACTGGATCATGTGGATATCTGGGAAAATATTTTCTTAGTTGTGTGATCAGAGGAATATAAAATCAATTTGTTTGGTGTCAAATACATACATGGTATGGCTCTGATACCCGTGTGTCAGTATAAAGATCATCCTGAGATAAAAGAGCCCAAAATGAGCAACAAGACACTGATATGCGTAGACATCTTCATGACCTAAAAGAATGGGAAAAAAGGCTTTAAAATGATTGTACTCTTTTCTTTGGAGAAATCCCGTAGATACATTCTGTAGGACTGTTCCTGGTTTTGTGTAGCTCTTAAGTATCAAATCTCAAAGGTTCAAGTTCATCTTTTAACAGTTTCAGAAGATGCTAGGTGACAATATCATTAATATGCAAAGGCACTGAGGTCTGTTTTCCTTCTTGTCAGCCCAGGTAGGAGAGATCTCTCTACTTTCCTGCATCTAGAAGAGATAGGGAGCTGGGTAGAAGCCAAGTAACTGGGCTCATTCCAGAGCTGCAAAGTGCTTCATGATGATTGGTCTGGAAATGAATTTTGAGGAACTTATATTCAAAGGATTCATTTGTTCAAGTGCTTCATTATTCTCTGAGTCTCAATAGCTTCAGACATATATTCTAAACTGCTCCCCTGAGATTAAAGTTTGATTGACAGAGGATAGATAAAACGGATTTAGAGGCACTTGCTCTCTAATGCTGAGTTGGGAATACCCTTGCTAAGCAGAATAAAACCAAACCAAGCTCCTCTGCAAGTTCAAGAGCATGGCTGCAACATCTCACTTCTGCTGGAAAGAAAAGGGATTGCTTTCTCATCTTCTTTGTTATCACTCAGTCTCAGTAAAGGCAGGCTTTCTTTGCCTGCCTTGTGCAGACTCTGGTGCTTGTTAGATGTCTCTGTGAGCTGAGCCAACTCGCCAAAACAAACCACAGAAGAATATGAGTAATTCTGCTTTCCTGTGTTGGAAAGCTGGGAAAGCTGGGATGCAGGCAGAGAGGGCAGAAAAGTGAAGAAGAGCAAGACCTGATAAGCACCCAAGGATGGAAAGCTATGTGTCCCTCCAGGCTAGCATTACTACCTTGAGACTTGATAACCACTTGAAATTTCAGCTGCAGAGATATTTCAGCTCACTGCCTTTTAGTCACTATGGCTTTCTGAGGGAAATTACATCCGCAGTTTGTTCCCAACAATGGGAGCAATTAAAGGCACTGTTTACTATCTAAGGAGCCTTAAATAGTTGAAATCTAATTACTTCCAAAAGACTTTCCTTCTTTTGTCCTGTGGTGACCCCTACATTAAATAGAATTGCTTGGCTGTCTTTCATAGGAATGAACTTTGAGGAAGCTGGAAGCAAAATATTGTCTCTAGAAGGCATTTTCCTGAAGAATTCATTACTGCCAGAATATTCGCTAAGCCTGAACTTGCCCACATTTGGTACACTATGTAAAATAATTCTCTGTGCACATGTTCGCCATTAATAACAGGCTCTGGAATCCTTGGCACTCAGCCGGTCGTTGTCTATCTTTGTCCTTTAACATTGTGTGCTGTTGCCTGAGCACAGTCCCTGCAGTCTTCCACCCGGCCTCAGAAATCCTCTACTTGACTGACTTGCTTTTGGCTGCTGCACCAAGCAGTGCGTAGGCCTATCGGTCCTGCCAGTCTGGTTCCCTAGTTAGGTCCTGGCACACCTCCCAGGCCAGGAGTAGTCTGGAGGGCATTTCTTTAGACTGGGGAGGATCCCAGGCACAGGCACACGTAGGCGTGAAGCCAGAACTTTCGCCTTATTTTGCCTTAGAGATATGTTTTGTAGAGCACAGCCACATACCAGTATCCCAGCAGCCCCAGCTGTACATGTACACAGCCTGCAGTCTGTGATTTGCACATGCAGCAGTCTGTGCCATCCTGTCGTGGTGCTAAATGGCAAGGTTGCTGACCTCCACACCACAGATTTTGAAACATCTGTTTGATGTGCCTATCATTGCACTGTCCTCATGAAGGAATTACAGATGCACTGTTATTTCTGCTTGACCTCTTCTCACACAGGTCTGAGCTAACACTATCCAACAACCTAGGGTTGCTGGACAACTTGGAGCTCTGCAGTGTCTTTTATCTTTGTGTGAGGACTCACATAGGTCTGTCTGAGCCTGTCAGAGGGAAGGGGAAAGGATGAGGACCTTCCTACAGTTCCTTCCATCCTTAGATTAGCATTTTTTGTTTGTTTCAGAAAATGACCAAGCCTGAATTGTACTGATGGGCTTGTAGAAAAAGCAACAGCTAATCACTCCTGGTATTTGAATATTCTGTCTTTGAACTCCAGTTTCCTTTTAGTACTATCATATTTCTCCAATATGTTGTCTGTATAATTTACATTTATGTAGTTGTGAAATATGTACAGTCCTGCTGAAAGTAGGTACAACATCTGTACATCCACTCAAAAGGACACTTTTATCCACCCAATTTATATCATTTCCCATCATTTTCTTCAGCTGTGAAATCCCAGACCTTCTGATCTATTATTTATTTATTGCTTATTGAGGTATTTTTCTTATGTTTATTATTTATTTGTTTTATTCAGTCATAAACAGTATTGAGTTTTCATAGAATAATGTATTCATATTACTTTTGTGTGTTTACCTTCTGGAAATATCTATATATGTTTCACATGTCTTGAGTTATATAGTGGAAAAAAACTGTTTCAGGCAGTTATATAATCTCAGACTAACCTCTGAGAGACTTCTGGTAATCTTTGATCATTCTTTTGGGTTTTTTTTTTTAGATCACATTGACAACCATTGGCTATGGAGACAAAACTCCTCTTACTTGGCTTGGAAGGTTGCTTTCTGCAGGATTTGCTCTGCTTGGCATTTCTTTCTTTGCACTACCTGCTGTGAGTATGCTTAAAAAAACTGTAGAATGATCATAGAAACTTCCGTAGCTCATACTGCTCTTAGGATACAAAAAGCTGAAGGAAACTTTCTAAATGAAGAACAACTGTTCAAGACTTTTTACTCTGTGACAATACTGGTGAGCTTCTAGCACCCAAATAAAAGGTTTGATGTTGCTGTCATTATGTGAGTTTTGGAAAAGTTTTCTGCTGGGACAAACTGGGATACAACCCTAAATTAGGTAGCATACTGCTGTGTAAGATTGAAATTCATTTCTTTTTCTATGAATTTTGAGTCATATATTACTGCTTTTCCTTGAGAGTTAAAAAAAAATCAGTTGATATGTATTTCTTAGTTTCTATTAAAGGAAAAGTGAGATAATTTTCATGCTTCTGAGTGTAGTGCAATTGTGAAAGACTGGATTTCCTTTCTCTTTTAAATTAATATTAAATAAGCAGGAAACCAGGAGTGACACTTGAATCTTTTTATATTCCATATATATTATATACTCCATCAACATTTTAATGCTTGGATTCATTATCTACAGGTCATTATAAAATATGTGCGTTATAATAATACATTTGTTTTCAACAATATAACAAGATTAAAAGTCAGCATTTGCCAACAGCATCAAGTCATCTAATGTATTACATTTACTTTTTATTTTATGCAAAGAGAGTATTTCGGTACCTGTGACATTATAATGCATAATAATTATAATTATATTACATTGCCTGTTTGTGAATCTTTGACATTTAATGACAACTACTGTAATTAATTATCTATGTTACCTAGTAATCACTAGCAAGAAATTTAGTCTTAGCAAAAGAACATGTAGAAGATGAATAACATTACATATCAGAGATGCCAGAACTGTTGTTCCTTGTGTCATATCTATACACAGAAACTGATTTTCCTCACAAATACTTTTCTGTTTGTAAAATGTATGTGTGAATCTTTCATGCATTTCTTGTATTTTTTATATATCCTGGCTAAGAATCAAGTGGAAATGTTCTGCCTTGTAAAGCAGGCATGTCCAGAAGAAATGTTGTACTCCTTCCAAGCCAAGGAGAGAAACATTCTTGGTCTTTTAGTCTGTCTAGCAGTAATCATATATATCTCACTTAAAAAAAAGTAAAAAATCAAAAGGGAGAAGATTAATTGTCAGCTTTTTTATATACCCTCTACAACGAACAGTGGAGATTATTTAGATGAGAATTAGTGAGAAAAAATGGTCTTAATCTCTTAAGTAAGGCATTTTTTTAACATTTCAAAAATCGAAAATTATAATAAGCACTGCAGAAATGACCTTTGTTATTTATATATGTCTGGTGTATCTGTCAGCTGGTCATTTCATTATTCATGGCTTACTTTCCTCTGAAAGTTCCTGCCTGACTCTATAGATATATGTATGTGTGTGTGTCTATGTGTGTGTGGCCTTTAGAGTTGCAGAAATATAGTATAATATAAACTCAGGCAATGGCTGGGGTGAGCAGTCATTGATACTACCACAGATGTTATCTCATAAAGAGTCTCCAGTCTAAATATGTACGGGTTCTGTAGTTGAGCCTCATACTGCCTTGTGCAGTCATAAATGAAGTACGCATATGATTATTCCAGATCTAAACTATGTAGCTGATTGTGTGTATTTGTAGGAAAAAAATACCTACTCATAAATATTGCATTGAATTGCAGGGCATCCTTGGCTCAGGATTTGCATTAAAAGTGCAGGAACAGCATCGCCAGAAACACTTTGAGAAAAGAAGGAATCCAGCTGCCAGTCTAATTCAGGTAAATCTGAAACCAGTAAGAAGATAACAGCAGATGATTTAAAGTACATATTGGAGCAAGATTTACTATTTCAGTTTGGAAAGTTTTGTGGAAATAACGTTTAACACAGATTAATTTCATGAAATACATTTCTTCATGTGTATAGAATTTTCATATGTACTTTGTGAGTTGTTCATCCATGCTAAAGAAACTGAATTGATTGCATTTCTGTAGCTGATGAATTAGAAGTGATCCCTGGACAGCCCAACTGACAGAGCAGCACCTTTGCCAATATTAAGCTGCTTTTCATGAATACGGGGTTAAGAGTATTCCAATGTGCTTGGTAAAAATGAAGAGTCCTGTCTAAAAGACTGATTTCAATATTAATCACTTCAAAAGCTCAAAAAGTAGGAACTAGAAATTCCCAAACTTCTGAAATTTTTGTAAGCGGTTTCAGCTCCAATGCTGACATCATGATGCCAATCAATGATTTGCAATTTTTTTTTTTTTTTTTTTTAAGCATGTGTCACTGTATGCACCAGTACAGATTAAGGGGCTGACCTGCTACAAAAGAGCTCTTCAGAGAAGAATCAGGGTGACTGGTGAACTACAGATTGACCAGCAGTGTGCTTTTGTGACCAAGAAGGCCAGTGGTATCCTCAGGTGCATTTAAAAGAGCACAGCCAGTGCATTGAGGAAGGTGATTTTCTCCTTTACTCTGTCCTGGTGTGGCCACATCTGGAGCACTGTGTCCAGTTCTGGTCTCCCCAGTTCAAGAGAGACAGGGTACATCTAGGGGAAGTCCAGCGGAGAGCTAGGAAGATGATTAGAGAGACCTGGAGCATCTCCCTTAAGAGGAAAAGCTGAGAGTCCTAATGCTGTTCTTCAGAAGAAGAGTCTGAGAGGGAATCTTACAAACACTTATGAGGGCTGCTCCAAAAGTAATGCCTCCTATTTTATTGTGTTGGTCTGTGTCATCAGAGGCAGATGTTGGTGATATAACAGTAGAGGTTCAACCTTTCCCACAATATTCTATTACATTTTGTCACCATGCAACGGGTGACAGCAGAAGAGCAGTCATGATGTCTGACATGGAAGTGCATATTAAGCAAATGTGGAATTGAATTCCTCCATGTGGAAAAAACTGCACTTATTGATATTTTTGATGTTTTCTGAACATTTATAGAGACAAACAGTGGATGTGAGCACAGTGAAGTGATGGGTGGTGTATTTCAGCAGTGGCAGGAATGATGTGAAAGACAAGCCATGTTCTAGAAAGCCATGTAGATTTTTGTGAGCGTGGCCTGCAGGCTCTTGTTCACCACTGGCAAAAATGCATAGCTAGTGGTGGTGACTATGTTGAAAAATAGTGTTTTGTACCTGAAAATTTTCTCTATCAAATAGTGGATTTGTGCTGTCTGTATCTGTTGTGGTTTCCATGGAAATAAGTAGGAGGCATTATTTTGGGAGCTTTCATCAATTATTGTAGTGGTTAATAAAGCTAAACCCACTCATTTTGTGTCTACAGTATTGTAGTATGAGAGTCTGGGATATTTTCTAAAACATATATTCTAAACTGCTCCCATGAGATTAAAGTTTGATTGACAGAGGATAGATATAATGGATTTAGGCTTTGGATGTAGCTCTTCTTACTGTTGTGTGAAAATCCAATCAAAATATTTAAAAGATGGTGTACTTAACAGATTAAGAGTAGGCAGCCAGCTGATCTCAGGAAGATACAGTGGACAAAATCACTGTAAAAGGAAGATAATTGTGGTGGGATCTAAGAAGTGAAGGTTGTTCAGCATTTTCATGTTCATTTTCATGTTCAGCATTTTTAGTCATCTGGAAATTAATACAAAATTACTGATGGTGATATTTGCCAATGTAGCAATTTGCCAGTGTATGGCGGAATAGTAAAGATGAGGGCAGGCACATGACAATGAATCTGAGTATAATCAGGCTGGAATTGTTCCAACCAAATGGCTTAGTATACCAAGTACAAAACTATTGATCCAGAAACAATGCACTCAGTGTGTAACTAGAGGACTCTGTCCTAATATTAGCAACTCTGGGAAGTATTTGTCCAAGCGTGAGAAACACAGAGGAGAAAGAGTAGGGAAGAAGGGTGGAGAGCTTCATACAAGTTCCCAGTATGTTATTTTGTCAAAGCTTATTACAGTTACATAAGGAAGAAGAAACTCATTAAACTGACATTACCACCATGTGTAATGATGCTAACAGTACTAACATGCATATCAAATCAACAACCACAGTTTGTAAATGAGGTTGGAAAACTGTAGAAAATAAAGAAAAAAAGGTGGTGGAAGGGTAGGGGGGGTTGGAAAAGAGTCCAAATAATGGAGAAAATGTCATGTTTAGAATTTCAGGGTGGATCTCAACAGTATGTCATCTACTGTAACATGGCCTGTTGTTTTTTTTTATTGTTTATTATGGATATTGACGATGAGCTACCTTGTGAATCACTACTCTAGTTTATCAGGATAATGTCTATTTTCTGGTGAGTTATTCCGCAGATTTAGCCTCTGCTAACTCATCAGTTGCAGATACTCTGTCTACTAGAGCTCAGACCTGTTTGCAAGATAGCTAAGCTATTGTAACAATCAAGTATAATGTACAATATGAACATACTTTTCTCTATTCGTTTAGCTTATAAGAAGCATGCAGTGTGAATATTATTGAAGCATGTAAATCCAGGGAGGAAGTGCTGGAAACTACAGGACCATATAATCTAGTAGATAGAAACATAACAAATTTATCTGGCTTTAAGCCAAACCAAAAAGTTTCAAATTAAGAATAATGCAGAGATTTTTGACAATGTGTATGATCAGCCAATGGAACAACTTACCAAGTAAGCGACAGGCTCTTCATCTGTAGATGAAGGCTAGATGCATCTGTGGGAGATGTGCAGGAAGACACAGGGTATTAAACTCTATACAAGAGTATCTGGATGACATTTAATGCTTGACATTATACAGGAAGCACAGATACTTAGCTAGTACAAATTAATATAGTTGTGCTGACATCAGGAAAGCTGTACCAGTTTGCAGAGATGAGGATCTATCTTACTATCCACATGCAGTTATAAATCTAAGTGTTGAATACATTTTCAGTGCTAAGCTTTGGTTGCTCACGTTTGAAATCAATTAATTTATAGTTTTAAGCATTTAGCAGTGTTTCAAACCACAGAGAATACTTCTACATGCTTTTTGTCTGGTTTTCATTATCATTTACAAAAATGTATTATGACACTTTTTTTACCTGAAACTGCAAGTTTGTGTGGGTTTCCCCTATGGAATTGTCACAACTAAATCACTGTGATGCTTTTTTCAGGCTGCTTTATGCTGAATATTTTCTGGTAGTTCCATGAAGCTAATAACACTTGCCATACCATGTTCTGATTTACAAAAGCTTTGGTAGGTTTCTGCTGGTATTTACTCGCTCACTCTAATACAGACATCCCAATCTGAGCAAAATCCACTCTCTCCATGACCAGTGCGGTGGCATTGTCACTTCATGTTCTTGGTTCCTTTGTGCTTTTCTATTGTTTCCCCATACCAGGCTTCTTGGCGGTTTTATTCTACTGACACCAGCCGAACAAACCTGACTGCCACCTGGCGATATTATGAAAGTATTCTTCCTCCCCTCAGGCATGTATCAGTGCTATGAATGATAAAAGAAAGCCATGACTTGTATTGGTTACTAATCTGCTTTTCAATTTTTTGTTTCATCCCCTGCTCCCTCTTGCCTTGTTTTTCTTTTTTATCATATATCCTGCACGTAGTGTGTATGGCGTAGTTATGCGGCTGATGAGAAATCGGTTTCCATTGCTACCTGGAAGCCTCATTTGAAGGCCTTGCATACCTGCAGCCCTACAAAGTAGGTACAAATATGGCAGCTGGTGCCGTTCTTGATGTCTGTTCAAGCTTATAGAGAATTACTATTTGTTTGTTTTGTCTTGTTTTGTCTTCTTAAGTTCTCTTATAAAAAATTTCAACTAACAAATCCGGCCAATGTTATCTGGGAGCCTAGTACAGAGAGACAGATACAAATCACCTTCATTTATCTAAGAAGTATCACTGAACACAGGCATTAGAAACATTTCAATGAGAAAACATTTATCAAGGGTAATGTTTTACTTCTATCCATGCTCCATACCAGCTGTGCCTTAACATACTCATTAATAATCACAGTCCCATTTTGAAGTTATACTAATTCCTCCTGCGTGCTGTTGATAAAGGTATAACATTATTTACAATGGATTTATAGGACATGCTTATTGGAAAATACTACTTACTGTCTAAGAAAAAATGGCTCCCTTCAGTTTTGAAAGTTTTGATCCTGAACTAAATTCTGGTATAAATTCATGTAAAACACCAGCTTGCTCCAGGTGAAGATCAGGGCTGAAAGACTTCCTGACCTGTAAGACGGGATGAGACGGGAACGCATCTCAGTCCCAGCTGCATATGGTGACAGCACTGCAAATGCACACTGGAGTGCCAACCAACAGCTGTCCCCTCCTCTGCTCTCCTCCAAACCCTGTTTTATATGGGACAGAAACATATTTAACTGCTCTTCTGCTAGATTTGTTTTATCAAGATCCTGAATTTGAGAGGACAATGGAAAGTGCATTTTCCTCTTGCTGTAGAAGGGTGACCAAAACCAGACTCTCCTAGGGAAGCTCAATCCCTAATGATTTGACTTTGGCATATACCTCTGTTTTTTTCACAGTAACCAACGAGCATTTGAGCAAATACAGGAATGAATGCAATTTTTCCCTGAACCAATACAATTCAGTATAAGTATTCGCCCAGTTTAAAATTATGTTTAAGAAAGAAAATATTAATACAGAGCTTGTTCTTTTAGTTAAAAACTATTTTTGCACTCTTTGACTAGACTGTGCCTCTGTTTTAGACTGTAGCTGCAGAACACCTTTCCAAAGGAACACAGCCTTATGGCATTTTTGCAAATGAATGCTCTGGGGAATTTCCTGTTTCTTGTCATTACTTCTGCTAAATTTAGTGTTTCCTTAAAGGAAATTGTATCCTCAGTTACACAGCCAGTCAGTGGAAGGTAACTAAAAGCACCTGATATCACAGCTTGGCAAACAGAAAATATTCACTGTCATTATGTGGTTGAGAATCCACAGAGCACTGGCCATCCAAGACCCTTCAGCAGTCCAAGTAAAGATTTTCCAGAAGGTAGTAAGTTGACTGATGCAATACAGGATACAAATTAGGAAGTAAACAATAATAAGGATTAGAAAGGAGTATAATAAGAGCCTTATGGGAAAGCTCTGATAAGCATCCTAACTGTTGTTATTGCAGACAGTGCAAGAGAATTAGTGGTTTCTCTCAAAGCTGGGTGATGAACATCCACATGACAGTAAAAAGGTAATTGTGTGCCAAAAAACTCAGCCAAAAAAGAGGTTTGGCTGGGTACCCAAAGCTGATTTTCGAATTTCAAAGAGTTGACAAGAACAGAGCCATAAGCAATCAATTACCGTAATCATAATTCCAAAATGCTTCAAACTAAAAGGAGCTTTTAGATTAAAAGTAACATGGAATACTGATTTTAATAAACATGCAAAAAATTTTGACCTACACAAACAGGTTGAAGACAACATTGGTATGAATGGATGGATATGAAATAATGAAGCTGTATCCCATCTAAAATATTCTCAATAAGACTGTCCCTCGAAAGTGCATCTAATGTTATTTTAAATAAGCCTATTGCTGTGATACCCTAAAATTAAACCTTTTAAAGCCTACAGCTTTCTGTTGCATATGTGTCAGCAATGCGTTTTGCCTAAGTGCTTTGCCAACTCAGTCTGCAGTGGTATGTACTAAGCATGTTGTGCATGTATTAAAACAAATGGAAAGCTTATTTTTCAGAAGCATTGTAGTTATGAGTCTTGCTTGAATGTTTTTGTGGTTGCAATGTATCGTGTGTGTTGTACACTAATTAACACATCCATTTACGTTTAGCATATATCTAACATCATCTGTAACTGAGTAATGTGATTACTATCTGCATAACAAATATGTTTTTCCCTCCCACTCCCCGACCTGAAGAAAAGAACAAGGGGAAGCTTCTAGCAGGTTTGTAGTTTAATTTATTTCTTCCATCTTTGAAATCTCTGCTTCTTAAAGGCTTTTTGCTGTTTATGCTCTGTGTAATAGGTTCAATGAACTGCTAACTGATAACAGTCACAAATCACATTTGTGTTTAACTTGTATTGATAAAAGTAATGATGCTGAAATTTGCTTGAATGGAAAAATTAGGCAATTTGTTTGCTTTTCTAAGTCCAAGCACTAAGTGCTTGTTACAGATCCTGCTCCCAAGGAGGGATGTGCCTACTGACTCCTGCCACAAAACTGATGGCATTTCCAGCAGCTGCAGTGGAGGGTAGAGGCATGTGGTGTAATTTGGCTTTGAATATCAGCTGTGTTGCCACCTGGCCTGGATGCAGGCTTAGGACTGGTTGCTGTAACATGGAGAGCCAGGGCTGCCCTCACTCAGTAAAAAAATCCTGGAGATCATAGAATCATAACATCACTGAGGTTGGAAAAGAGCAGCAAGATCTTCTAGTCCAACTGCCAACCTATCACCACTATGCCCAGTAAACCATGTCCATCAAAGATGCACAGTTTTGGGTAGTACATGGAAATGTTGCTCCTCTTCTTTATGTATAGCTTGAATATTTAGGGCCTGGAAATGACCTGGTGGCCACAAAAGAATTATACTGCCCTCAAAACTAGTTAGGAGTGAGAGTCAGCAAGTGTTGGGCAGTCAATAAAGCAGGGTCAGAGGAGGGTGGAATTTACTTCCAAGGAGAAAATGTTCAAAAGCCAAGAAAAAAGCATCAGTGATGCATCAACTTCTGAAATGCATCTACCCTAAGTTATACTGTGGTCTGCAAACTCTTTTTATTTGATCATCTCTGAGCAGTTTGAGCACTTCCATACCTAAAATGCAAAAAAAAAAAAAAAAAAAAAAAAAAAAACAGGTGGAAAGTCTTCACAAGAAATTGCCCTCATCCCTCTTCACTTTTCAGACCAGTTCCCTGCTGCCTGATTCCATCCTTGAAGTGCATGTTTGGTATGACAGTACCTCAATGTGAATGGATTTGCTCTGAAGCATCACTTGGGAGTGCTTCACCTACTTTGGCATTTGCAAGAAACTGTCACTGTTGGTTCTGTTACTTTTCATAAATGTTGCCTCTATAGGATCATTGGCAATGAACTGGTCTTATTAAATTATTATAGTCCAATCAAAACTTTTCACACTTGCCAGCCATATTGCATATCCTTCAACAACATTTAAAATTGTTTTCAGCTTTTTTAAAGATGAGACTGGAGTTGACAATAAATAAGTGTGTATCTTCAAAACAGTGATTTGTGCAGAGTGAGCTTATTCCCAGCTGTACCCATAAGGACTTAAAGACACAAATTTAATTACAACATGTAGAAGCTAAATGGAAGGGGAAAAAATGTAAAATGATACGACCTGCCCCTTCTTAAAGATACTGCTGTGGTTTTAAAAGTAGTCAGTGATCTAGCTATATACTTTCACTTCATATTCACTGAATGAAAGATGTTTGCCCCTTCAAAAAACTTCACTCCTGTGTTCACTGCTACATATTAGTGTAGGTATAACAATGAGCTTGTTAACTCTTTGAGATCTTGGTCTACAGTAGAAACCTACAGGCCACTCAGTGCCTTTTTAAAAAGGTGTGTTTTGTTGATGGTTGTTCACTGCATTGTTATGCTGATATACTGCTCTATGTTTATATCACTTAAACTATGTGTATGTGCTCTGCTGTAAAAACATAAATGCAAACAGCTGCAATGTACTTAGAGATGACTGTCCTCGACTACTTAACTTCTCTTTTACTGCACTGCTGAGTGACTTGCATGGGATGCTATGTGACCTAAGTAAGCTGCTTCTTGTTTCACTCTTTAAATGAAGATATGTTTGTTCAAGTAATGCATTGGATTTCTTTCTGAATATTCTCTTTGCTCTTTATTCTAATAACAGTGGAGAAAAAACTTTTATTACTTTAGGTAAAAGCTATATTTTCTTGCCTATCAAATTGAATTTTGTATTTGTAGAAATGAGTTCTTGCATTTTGTCATGTATAGACCTACCATCTTTCATTTGGCAACTAAATGTTGTTGCCTGAGTTAAGACAGCTACGTTTATGCTATAGCTTCACACTGATTTTAAGAAAAATATTTTCAACACATTACATGGTGTATTTCTCAAAACAGTATACATATGCATTCCAGTTAATCACTTATCAAAAAAATGGTTTGACAGCCTTTCTGGTCAGTGTGTGGTGTAAGCTGAGATATGTCTGTAAAGCAGTACTAATTCTGCAAGCTATTTGGAAAGCTTTACGTTAAATTATCTATATCTATAACTACACACTGAGCATAAGTATTTATTTCTACTCAGTTATACACTGCAGCTGAAATACTTCCTATGCAAGGAATGAGGTCAAGACCAAGGAGTCTTACAGCATCTTGAGAACATAAACAGTCTTATGCTGTGTGTAGGACATACTTTGGGCATCTGCAAGGAATGAATTTCACCTGTCAGTTGTAGGCTCCATTTAGCTTTGTAAATAGTGAGTCTTAATATAAAGAGTTGCAAGCATAGGAGCTTGGGATAAAAAAGTCATCCTATACTCTGAAAGAAGCATGTAAATTATATTCTGGAATTCTCTTCATCTACTAAATCACAGTTGTTTCTAAAAGTAGAAATAATGTAAATTATTATCTCTGCATGCGCTTTGTGAGAAAGGAATTGCCAGTGATGAAGAGTCTGACTTGAGATGGAAAGCCTAACCCCTCACCTAGCAGTGGAATGCTTAGTAACATGGTCCTCTATCTCCCCTCACTCCTAGTAAGCTTTGTAGTAATAAACAGAAGCTCTTCAGGATGTACACCCCTCGGAAACATAGGTATTCAGCATCCTGCCTCTTCATATGATGTTTGAGAATGCCAACTAACATCAGGTGCATGATTCATTTATTTTCCACTCCTTGATGCTTTAAAGTTCCTTACTTCTCCAAAAGACGTTTCCTTATTTATTTTTTTAAGTGCTTGTAACTCCCCTCGCTGCTTGTTGCCTGCAATGACATTAATACAATGGCAGTAGTTCCAGTAATTTGAAACTCATACAATTGCAGTGTGCAGCACGCCATGGTTTGCCAACACGCAGATTCCCTTTTCTGCCTGAAACTTGAACTTTTGGAATGCATCACCCTGTAGAGATCTATACAATTTTTGAGCATTTAGATAAAGACATTTTCCCCAGTCCAAGAGGATTTTTACACTCATGGCAGTTGAGTTCTCCATTGAATAACCAGTGAGGAAAAATGAGATGTAACGTGTTGGTCAACATCAACAATTCAAGTGTGTAATCATTATTGAGAAGAATCCCCTTGGACACAGCCTGTGGAAGCTGTGCCTGCATCCTATACTGGAAGGTGGAGAAATGCATGTGAAACAAACCATTTGCTTCAGTTAAATTCTACCGAAACTGTTTCTAACCAGAAATGGTAATTTCTAGATGGGTGGATCTTAGAGGATGATGCACTTAATTTATAACTAAAGCATATTACCATTTTTCTTACTTTCTAAAAGGAACTTAAAGAAACAACACAAGTACAAACTGATGATGGAAAATGAAGGAAAAAAAAAGATTCTCTTCATTCAGAAATTGTTTTGATAAAGGAAATTCACAAAAGCCCTGACTTTTTGTTTGGATTTTTTTTTACTTGACAATTGAACAGTAAGACATTATGTCCTTGAAATTCTTGTTACTACTCATTGAAGGCAAAGTATGAGATACAGCACTATGTTTCTTGGATTCAGGATCCTAGGATAAGACTGGTGGAGAATTCTTGAACGTTTGAACATCAGACATTATTGTACTACTGACTGCATTAGCATTTGTTCAACTTCGCTTAATTTCCGTAAAATCTGTAGCTTGGGAAGAATCAACATCTGTATTAATTGGAAGTTAACTATGGCAAATCAACACGAACTTTTAACTGCTGTTATTTGTCATGGGTGATAACTTTTGTCAGCTTGAGTTTCTGTCTCGACTCAAGACTCAAAGCATTCTCTCTCACCCTCAGGCCTTACAGTTACTTCTGATTAATTTCAATTTGTTTCTATTCCCACTTCCACCAGCTTGCTCATTGTGAAAAGCTGAGACATGAATCACAGATTTTAACCAGTGGAAAGCAGCAGTGCTGCAGGTCAGAGGCTGATACGGGACAGAGGTAGAAGTTTAGAGATAGAAATGCCCAGAAATGCAGGAAAATAGAAAGAGAAATAGGGGAGCAGAACAGGGAGGCAAAGTGATGTCCCATTAACAAAAAATTATAGTAAGATGCTTAATGGAAGACAGAACTGTGAGTACAGGAGAGAAGAGCAAGAGTTTGTTGACATTTATCAGTTGAAATCTTCTTGAGTCAAGTAATTCTCTTTGCAAAGAACTGTTTGTTCCCGATGCAATGAAGCTACAGTGACCTCTAGTGTCTCTAAACACCTATTCCTATGATGGAAAAGATAGAATTTGAAAAGTAGAGCTACAAAGTCATTTGCTATTGCAGAGAGGTGAATGGCTCATCCGTGTACTGACAAGACAAATGAGTGGTAAAATTCTGCAACTAATCCTTCAGGAGAAAAAAGATAGAGAAATCACTTGCATTTCTTCCAGAGGTTTCAGTCGTAGCTCCACTAAAATTTGCTTCAGTTTTACTTATATGAATGTATCCACAGATTGCAACCTGCAAGTATAGAGGAGACCAAAGGCATTACCATTGCCACAGAAGATTGTAATAGAAAGCTAACATATACAAATGAACAGGAATAAATAATCAATCGCATAAGTACAAGAAAATGATGGACAGACACGTATCTAAAAGAATATATATGGATATATATATATATATATATATATGGAGATAATTGAAAACAGCTGGATTTCTCTCGAACCTTTGTCATTCAAGTCTAATTCAGGATCCTGTGTAATTTCAGAAAGCATTTACACACCTATTTAACTAATTCCTCCTAATAGTTCTTGTCTCTTGGAATAGCATTCAAGTTAAACTTTGGAAATAAATAAAATGATATGTGAATTTCCAAGGGGCATTGGAGGTTTACATTAATTCAAAGAATTTCTCATAAACAGAGAGGAAAGAAAAAAATAGAATGTGCTAAGCTCTGCAAGATATGAAGAATTTGTAGCAGGGCATTGGACAGCACTAATGCAACCATCATTAAAACAAAGTAAAGTGCTTTAAAGGTTTAGTGAACACTGATTCAAGTGTAGAATGCCCAAAAATGCTTGCAAGGGCATTTGCAAGATTATCTCCAGGCTGTATCTCTAGTGCTGTCTCCACCACTACTGCAACAGGTAGTTGAGAGCCCAGAGCCTATAAGGGAAGGGACTTCGCTGCGGGTGAAAACCGTGCTCAACATGCCCCAAAAATGCAGTTAATCGAGTTATTTCTTCATGATACATTATTTATTATTATTCCTCTAGAGATGGGCTCTCCCCTGCTGCAAGTCACACAGTTTATTCCTGTTCAGAGTAGGACCCGGTGGCTCTAGGAACATTTCCCACCAGTCTGAAAATAGGAACAGGGATCCAAGAGCAAAGAACTATAAGCAGTGTCTTTGCAGAAACTCTCAAGATGTAAAACAGTTTCCAAAGCAGGCTTCCTTAGGAGGCTCTGTTTCTCTTCATGATGCAGCATTCTCTGCATGGACCCTTGGCATGCCTTTACATTGCCATTGCTACAAAGCAGATTTTCTTTGTGAGGTCTGCATTCTGAATTAATATTTTCATTCTCAGTGTTGCACTTTTACAAATGGCTCTCAGTACAGCTCAAGTATCTACTCAAGTATCTCAGTACAGCTGAAGTATCTACTGTTCCTTTCACCATTGCCTCATTGCTTTGGTTTGGAGAACTAAAGATATTCAGGTTAAGTAACCATTGTATATCATTCAGTTTTTATTAATGAAATAATCTTGTGCACAAGTCATTTAAATGCAGGCATTGTTTACATTAATACAAATTAATTGACATAATGATGTATGCTTCTTTCATTTTACTATTTTCATTTTCAATTTGCAGCTACTTAGATTTTATTAAAAATATATATGTTCCACGCTGGTCTTATTTATGGCTCGTTTACCATTTTTTCTTTCATTTTTAATGGCTGTAAAATGTAGAGAGCTGTCCAGAAAGCTTTTTACTTTAAGATTTGTCAAAGATACATATAATTTGACTTCATTTTCAATATCAAAAACTGTGAGCCATAAGAAGAGTGAATAAGATGAAGTCCATGTTGATCCTGTTGTTCATGCTGTGTGACAACGCAATAATGTAGCTAACAAATATTTTCCAGCTTTTACTTTCATGAAGTTGTACAATGCAAAAAATTCCTGAGATGAAATGTAATTTTTATTGAAAACTAAACTTAAGAACTCACTTTTCTTTCAAATAATAGGTTCTGTGGATGTTTTGTATTGAGTATGCAACAGTGTCTAGTACTGCTGGCTTGGGTAACAATTTTCAGTGGAAACAGATTATGTTTCCAACACCATCATGTGTTTATTTCAACAATTGCTTACTCTGGGCAAAGGGAAGAAGGGAACTGCATTCAGAAATTATAGGAAAGATATTCTGGTATTCTTTCAAGTGATTCAACATGCCTTATAGAAATGTTTATCTAGTAATCTTATTGATATGCTCTTTTTTTTTTTTTTTCTTTTTAACTTTTTTTGTGTTCTTGAAACTTATCTCAATCTGAGCTTTCTGGCATGTGCTTTTGCCTGCTACAAATTGCATCCTTTCTGCTCTCAGTGATGTTTGTGTTCAGAATGAAATGCTGTGCTATGCATGGACAAAAATATCTGATTATCTCAACATTTCACAGCTACAGAAGTTTGTAATTACATTCAATCTCATATAATTATATATTAACTCTGTATTTTCAGGGTGCAGTTGGTTAAACATCTAAGAACATTTTAGCAGTAGTTAATTAGATGCAGAGTTCGTTTCTCTTGAAAACATATTTTATGGGTGTGCAGAAGTGCAAAGAGTTGAGGGTGCTAGGAAGTTTTTGAACTTCAAGTACAATTATAGTTTGCAAGTAGACAGTCTTTGCTCTAGATGTCTTAAAAGCATCCTCCAGAACCTATGTCAGTGCAGTGGGACTGCACAACCCATTAACAATATACCATGAGCAGCTCCTACTTTGCTCACTTCATCTCTCCCCTGGCCTGAACTCATCCTTGATGAAGATGGCCATTCCCATAGATAAAACAAGAGTACCAAAGCAGGTACCAAAGACTTCCTTTCTGTTTTCCCTTTGTGCCATCTGCTTGAGGAAGCAACAGACAAAAGCAAGAAGGCTAAACAATGAAAAAGCATAAGTATGTAGATAGGGGGACCACAGAATTTCATCATATGTTTTAAGGTGAACAAAGTTAATTTGAGTATTGAGAAGTAAAAACCCTACATGTTCCACATTTAGATGACTGGAGGGGAAGGATACAAGCACAGAAGGGAACAAATCTTGGCCAGCTGTAACGATGCAGGGCCACCTTTGGTCCAGCAGTCACAACGTTGACCTTGGTTGGGCCTTAGTGTTTGTCCTGAAGTGCCAGTAGCACGTGCAAGTAATAAAGTCCCAGCTTAATATTCAGCAGTGACTTCAGTGAGCACAGAGGGTAACCTTACATTTCCATTAATCAGTCATCACTCTCTTTCATGGATGTTTTGTTAATTTTGGTTTTATCTTGTCCCAGTAAGTTCTGTTACAAGAAATTATGAATATGAGTAACCACTAACAATGCATATGAAATGCTGGAGTTGCCACATCTTGAAAAAGCATGATGATACTAACAGTATTTTTGCCTGCTTAAAAAACAAGCAACAAACAAAAACACTATATGGCATGCAATAATAATAGAACACATTTTGTTCTTGTCTATCTGAAAAGATCATCAGAGGTGCACTGAGCTGGGCTGATTAATGTGGGAATAAACCTTTTTAAAATTCAAGGAATAAAAAAGTAAATCCTAGAGATTAATCCATGACAGTTGTATTAAATTTATTTCTGTTTGTTAATTTTAATTTCCTTCACAAGATTATTTTGTACTTAAGATAGACTGTTTGGGGTTATGTCTCTATCAGATAATAATTACATCAAGTCATTTCCATTCCCAAATTATATGTATTCAATGAAATTAAAAGTGTGTAAGAAAAAGGTTTATACTATTGAGAATCTTTAGAATTTGTTTTCTGTTATGATAGAAACGGGATAGTGGAACTAAGAATAAAAACCGTTTCTCTTCTTCACAGTCAAAAGTTAAGTTTCAAGGAGCGGGTCCGGATGGCCAGCCCACGAGGTCAGAGCATAAAGAACAGGCAGTCATCAGTCGGAGATCGCCGGTCCCCGAGCGCCGACGTTGCCACTGACGGCAGCCCCACCAAGGTCCAGAAGAGCTGGAGCTTCAATGACCGCACCCGCTTCAGGCCATCGCTGCGGCTCAAGAGCTCCCAGCCCAAACCCGTGGTTGATGGTAGGAGTTTTTCTGTGCCTCCTTTTCCATCATGCTCTTCTCAGCCTTCTCTAACTGCTCTGGCATACTAGCACGGTGAATGCAGCCCATGCCTGGAAAGCAGGAGGAATCACTGACCCTGGGGGTGTTCAAGGAAAGACTGGATGTTGTGTTGAGGGATATGGTTTAGTGGGAGCTATTGGTAATGGGTGAACGGTTGGACTGGATGATCCTGTAGGTCTTTTCCAACCTTGGTGATTCTATGATTCTATGATTCCATGATCTTTATATTGGGCTGAGGCTACCAGAAGGCAATAGCCTGCTGCAAACAGCATTCTGACACAATTGTACTAAATATGAATCTTGTATCAGTGACACACAAAGAGTTAACAGTAGAAAAGAGGGAAATCACAGGTGAACAAAACGCATCCTGCACGTTTGGGTTTTCGCAGACCTCTTACTGCCACCAAGGATACAATCATCTGGCACAAAGATATATACCAGCAGGTGCCTTAAGTTTTACACCTTACCTTTGAGATGTTCTATCAGGTAGGGGAGATAAGTGGCTTTAGCAAAAAGAAACAGTGTTACCGCTTTTATGTATTCCCTTCTACAGGGTATTTTAGATGTGGAAAGAAAACATAGCCTTTCCTGCACCCTGCCTCACTGTGAAAATGGATGCTGCTCCTCTCTGCTCTCCTTCCTGGGAAAGGTTCTCTCCAGCAGTCAAACAGCAACTGCTGAGTCAAAGATTTTCTTCTATAGAAGTTAAAGAGGCATTAATTCTTCTAACCAGAAAGCACTGCCCCTAGTTACAGCAGCTCTCTGGCTGGTCTTGAGGCTCCAGTTGTGTCCAAACTCCTTAGAAATGTGTCCTGCACTGGAAGATGTCCTCACACAGCTCTGGGTGGGCCCCCTGCCCCAGGAGACATTGATGTGGATTTCTATGTTCACATTTTTTCCCTACTTATTAATATTTTGTCCTCTCCTGTGGGTCTCTCAGGAGGAAAATAAGGGAAACACTGTCTAGAGGAGGCAGTGATGCCAACTATATGGAAAAGGTACACTGTGAGTCATTTGATCAAAGTAAAGAGACGCAACTTTAAGCTTCTTCTGCAATGCTAATCACCTATGCTATGTCCAAATTTGTGGTAAAACTGTCCAGACAAGAGTGTAATTTCATTGCTCACTTCCTTTTTAGAAGTCATTATCACAAACACCTAGGTTGCAAAACAACCACTGAACTGGAATGCACCATCTCTTAGCTGAGAATTTCCTGCACAACACATCTTGTCAGGGAAAGCCTGGGTAAATAAACTTTTCCTGAAGAACAAACTAGACAAACAAAAGGTTTGCTAAGATCATCTTTTTAGGCTAGTCCTCCTGTGTGGAGTGCTCTTGCATGCATGAATCCCAAATTTGGCTGCACTACAATGAGCTCCTGAGAAGTACCAGCCACTGCTCAGTGTCCAAGGAGCCCTCCGGCCCCTGCTCCTTTTTGGGGCACGAGCCATGGCTCATGTCCCACAGAAGCCACATGATCTGGGGTGTGTGATGCCTGCCTGGGTTCAGGCTGTCACGGAGCTGTGATGATGCCAATGCTCAGAACTGGGAAGTGAGAAATGCTCGGGGTACCACAAGTCTGAAAGTACCCTCTCTAAATGTAAGCTTCTCATGTAATCAGTTAGTTAGTACCAGTATCTGTCAGAATACAAGCCAGAAATGACTTCATAGGTTAAACTCCTTGCACTGAACTGGAAGTGAACTGAGAAGAGAGCATTTTATTGAGCATACTCCCATGGTATCAGCAGCTCCTTCTGTGCCAATCCCTCAGTCTGCACCTCAGTCAAGTATCTGTTTACTTCTTCATCAGCCCATTTGTCACAGAAACACTTCCGACGTGTAGTCCTGTGTTTTGTCCTGTATGCACTGTTGTTTATAGCAGTTATCTGCATGAGAAGATCACACTCATTCTCACTGTCTGTTTGATGGGAAAGGTGTCATAAAAGGCACCTTGGGTATTTCTGTAGATAAAAGATAGTAACAACAGGGACTTCACTGTCGTGAGTAAGCCCTTAAAGATCTTCCTGCTCCTCAGGGTGAGCCCAAGCTGTTTCCTTGTAAGCAGTTTCCAACTCCTTGTCCACCCTTATGAACTAGGGCCAACAGATATGACTGATTCCTCATCCGTGGCAGGAGGAGCAGCCTCCATTGTCTCCAGCTTTTAGGCAAATGCCAAGTTTCCACTCTGGGACCCAGTCCAGTACTTCTAGGATTGGTCTCATCAGGTCAATTTCCACTATGCTCACTGCTGAGAGGCAGTTCCCTGCTGCTTTACCCAGTCCACTGCAGGAAAAGACCAGCACTACCAAGCTTGATACATTCTATTTTTTTTTTTCCATTTGTGTTATCAGTTTCATAGTTAGGCACACTTTGACATCTCAGTAGAAAATATCTGGAGACTATGTATTTAGTTGAGTTCTTCTTGAATTTTTTCACTGGATGAAAACACAGCATTTGCAGTAATATTTTAGTAATATCTCTCAGTTCTCAGACCCTCCACTTCCCTTCTGGAGGTATTCTGCAGCCAAACAATTGTTTTGGTGTGCTGATCTTTCAGCCATCATTTATAGATGTAAATCAGTACATAAAACAAGACCCTTGAGTGGCTGTTTTTTTTCTGGGGCTTCTTTTCTCTTTGCAGTAAGTTTAAGGGAAGAAGAAATTACACTTTCAAAAGACCCTTCTGACAGAGACAATTTGGTACAGGTTCCCCAGTCCAGGGTCAAATGATTACATTGGTAATCCAATGAAAAAATAAAAGGCTCTTACTATGAACTTCACTTTTCAAAAGAAAAGACATTCACATATTTAGAACAAGCTCCCAAAGGCAGTGGCCATAGCACCAAGCCTGCTGGAGCTCAAGAAGCATTTGGACTACACTGTCAGACATAGTTTCATTTTGGGTGGTCCTGTGTGGAGCCAGGAGTTGGACTCGGTCATCTTGGTAGGACCCTTCTAACTTGGGATAAGGTATGATTCTGTAATTCACTTGATTTCACTGTACGGGATTTGGCATTGTAAGTTATCTCCACTTAGTGCAGGTACACTAGGAACTACCCCTTTATGAAGGTGAAGTTTGCTGAACTCTTCAAAAAATAAAGCAAATGAGCAAATATTACTTATGTAGGGAGTTCAAAAAGGAAGTGAAATCTTTAGTTGGGTGAGAGTGATCTAAGGCAGATAGTCAATTGAGAGATTTGGCAGCATTGACTAAGTTCTAATAAAGGATGTGGCTGGAGTCTGAGCCAAAACAATCAGAAGAAGACTGCTAGAAAAAAAATAAACATGAGCAGTTAGAAACTGTTGTGTAAAGGAAGGTTTGTAATCCAGGCAGGAGTTTATGGAGGCAGCATTTGGCTAACATGACTGAAAATGTAATAGCTTTTCTCTTACACTATGTGTTAACAAAAGCTTATGAACACTCCCCAGCTGCATATTAAAACCATAGAAGAAGAGTTTCTCGGCAGTAAAGCAGGATGCCTCAGCTGGTCTCAGGCATGTTCTAAAAGGATTTTGGTGTAGGAGACTTTGAGCAGCATGACCAAAACAGTTGCAGAAATGCCTTTAATTATGGGTAGTGACAGCCCTCTGAAACTGCCTGTAAAGCATTTATTGCTCTTGCCAAAGTAGGCCTGGCAACTGCAGCATTTATTTCAGCTACGTGTGTGCATTTGCAAATTGAGTCCAAACCTGAGAGAGCTTTGATGGCTGGAGAGAGCTTTGGTGGCATGGCTGCAGACACTCCAGAGCATTTAACAACAGTGCAGGGGAACTAAATTGAAAACTAAGACTTATGTAATCTGATTTTAAAAATACATCCAGTCTCCAATGAAATGTGCCTTGCAGCTGCCAGAACTCTTGCTGGAGATGAGATCCTGCAAAAATTAGTAAAGGTGCCAGGATGCTACATTTCCAATCCCTGTTATCAGTTTAGAAGGGAATTACTACCTCCGAGCAGATCTAATGGAACTCTTCACCACTCAATCTGTGAAGGCCTTGGGAATTGTAAGTAGTCAGGTTTCATAAAACGTAAGCTTGAAATGTTAACAAGAATCATTTGAGAATATTTTACCAAATGATGAAGAGGTAGACAACAGGCTAATAGGGTCATGCCAGACAAAGCCTTCCTACAAGAGCTGCCATGCCACAGGGGTGCTTATGCAGCTCACCCTGATGAGCTCAGAAGTCTTGGCTGAGCCCTGACCCGTATGGCCTCTTCCTGTCCCTATGACCTGTTAATACAGCATGGCTTATATCCCTGCACACCCAAACAGGCACCTCAGCTAAGCTGTCAGTGGGGAACAGCCCCCAGTACACCAGGCTTCTGTGGAGAGCACTCCCCTTTCCAAACATATAGTTGAGCTTTCTTCTGCTTGCTTCTTTTTGTGAGGAGCAGAAACTTCTCCTGCTTAAATCCAACTCCAGTGTTGCGTGGCCAGAGCTTAAGGAATGAGCTGATATTATGTTGGATATGCAGTCCTCAAGAAGGGACAAAAGTGCCCTTCTATACTTGTACACTACCATCCCATGATGGATATTGTGCATTTGCTGTAAACTAGATGTTGTGTGGCTTTTTGAAAAAAGCATCAAAAGTGTTCAGCACCAAAGATATTACAAGCATATTTCATTTGATTAATTAAAAAGAACTCTCTAAGGGATTATTTGATTTCTGCAGCATCTCTGAACATTATATGCTTGCATGACCTCTAGCCTTCTACTCCCTACAGAGTACTTGCTCAAAATCCTCAGGGTAGAGTATATTACAAGAACCATGGGAAGAATGCAACTGTGCATTTCAGCCCCCATGTCCTCAGTTACTACCATGTAATTTATGTATTGCAAAAATGGCAGGTTTTCCTTCCAGTAGCGCAAACATCTTGACCTCATCTGTGGTTCACTTGAAGTGGCAAAGATCCTTCATTTGGTTGCTTCTGCACCTCCTTTAGCTTTAATTTGCT